ACATTAAATTTTTTGATGCAACTATTTTTGTTTGAAAGTAAATTCAATTTGATGAATTACAATCAAATTTTAGCTTAAAATAAAAGCATATAGTTTGTAAGAAAAATCACAGAACTTAATGACGGTTTTTAAATTTTGTAGGGTCAGAATTGACACCTTCATTGATGAGTCCATAACTCTCAATTCTCTTCGGATCTCCGGCTAAAATTTTGCAAGGTTACTTTTGAAAGACACACAATATCACTGAAATATGTAATAAAAAAATACGTCGTTATCTTCTTCATATCATTGCTCCAAAGTAGCGTAGAATAATAATTTTGCAAAATATATTTTTCAATGTTTGAATATTCCAATAATTATTAATTATGGGTGTATTACATGACTACAACAGTGAATAGCTTTCTTTTATCTCATTCTCAAGCTTGATCTAGACTCAATAAAAAGAGAAGACAACTAATGACATGAAGTATCAATAGCTCTGATACTAATGAAAAAAAGACTAATGTGATTATGCAGGGAGATATATTTATTTATTTTTCTTCTTTTCAACCATTTTCTTTTCTTTTGGCAAATATCACTTACAAGTAGTCTTATTACAATAACTTTTGCTTCAAAGAAAATAAAACTAACAAATTCAAGATTTTAAAAACTTTTATGTCATTAAACCAATTTTCTTTAAACAAAGAAAATATCAACAATTTTTATGCTTGAGAATATAAGGATAATTTAGTTAAATATAGCAAGAAACAAAAAGAGAGTATTAAGGATTGTCTCAACTGGGCTTATTATACCTCACACCTAATTACCACCTTCCAATGACATAAGATCAACAATCAATCTAGAATTTCAATTGGGAAAGCAAGTTTAGGCCAAGTCCTTTAATGGAACTATAAACTCCTTTATCACAAATCTCAAACTTTTAGGTGAATTCCCTTAGCAACCTAGTTTGTGAGAAATACTTATCTTTTCTACAACCTTATATTCTAAAACTCCAATGAGAGATCATGAGAGTGTTGAAAGAACCACTATGAGAGAGATATCAAATATGGGAGAGAGTAGGATGTAGTCCTTTTGGGTCTCTTGAGGGAGAGACATAAATTTTCTTAAGAGAGAGAGAGAGAAACTTTTTTCAGAGAGAGATGTACATTTTAAATGGGGTGTGCTCCTTTTGTGCATATGAGAGAGAGATGGGAATTAGGTTTAAGAGATAAGGTATAGAGATTTGGGCATGGATCGATCCCCTTTTAATAGTGTTTGAACAAGATTATGATTTTTTAGGGTTTCTTTTAGCTTGCTTCTTATTGTGAGATTAAATATGAACTATTAACCTTGGGTGATTTACGAAATGAAAGATTTGAACCATTCATTTCATAGATGGGTTCTTAATATTATGGACGGTGCTAAAACGTTTATCCTCCATTCCTAAACCATTTTTCCATCAGTAGAAATAAAATAAAATAATTTCATTCATAATATAGTGCTTATAAAAATTATGCATAGGCATTTTCAAGCTTTCCAAAAATCCTTTGAAAGCTTCTTCAAGGCATAATCTTTCCAAAATACTTCAAAGCTTTATCTTTAAGCCAAAGCTTGAACTAACACAAGGAAAGTTTCATTAGGGTGGGGTGTGTCACCCTAGCTGGTACTTCATAGGCCCCACTCATCTGCAATGGTGAGCCCATTAACATATTGGGTCTCCCATGTAATATTAAAATTAACTATATGATTTTTAGAAATCTATAAAATCAAATTTGAATAATTAAATCAATCTAAAATAAATATCTCTATTTTTATAAATCCAAATTTGATAAATAAATTATCTAGAGATCTAGAAAAAATCAAATAATAATACTAAAAATCATATATCATTAAAACAAACATAATTAAATTTATTAAATGAGAAAATGAGCCATATGATCTAGGAATTAAATAAATAAACGTTGAGGCACTCTACCTTCAATTGTGGACTATGGACTACACTTGCTTTATCAAATCAATCCAGTTTTTCTCATGACCCACAGTCCATGCAGGGGCTCATTAGTAGGTTACGCCAATGAGCCAATGGGTCGTAATCCCAATTTGTAGATTTCAGGTTCTCCCCTAGAGTACCTAAGCCTGATGCGACTACAGCTCCTATGACAACACATGCTTAAGCTTTACCCTATCATTATGCATGCCGTTGTGATGACTTGCGGAAGAGGCTTTGACACTAGTCTTTGAAGACCACCATCACAAAAAAAGGTCACACAGTCTCTCGGCTCACTCATCCGAGCATACTTCGACCTCATCAGAAAATGACCTATTAGAATCCTTAATAGATAGTTTTCAATGCTCAAGTAATATAGGTTTTTTTCAACCGACTAGCTTAGCTCATCAAGCTCAATCCGGTAGTAGCAAACATCGTTTGCTTAGTATGGCCCACAAGGGACATAGTCCCATTGAGTTATATCATTTCATTTTACAATCACTTGTAAGGCTTTTAAGAACCACACTCACCCAATAAAATTTCCTCTTCTTGAGTGTACCTCTTTGAAGCACCAAGGAGATAGATGGAGTTGAGGGGAGAGAAAAAAATCCATGATGACCTCTTTTAGTTTTTAGTAGGTGTAAATTTTCTTAACCCCAAAGCCCTAGCGGTGATCTAGTTTCCGTGTAACAAAACTCGAAGAACCAAAAAAATCCAAATTCAAATATGAAAACCTAACTTCTTGTGAGCAGAGTGAGTGAAAATCCAAATCAACCTAAAAGAAAGGAGAAAAATCTAGAAAGAGAGAGTTCAAGAGGAAAGAGAAAAATTATAGATACCCAAGAAAAAAAGGAAGAGAAAACTATAAAAACAGAGAGACATTGGGGTTGAGAGAACATGTACCTGTGAGGAAGAAGAGCTTTCTATCAATAGACAAAGAGTGCAAGAGAATACCGGAATTTAAAGAGAGAGAGAAAGATGATAATTTGGTGTGAATTTAAAGATAGAGAAAGATGATAATTTGGTGTGAAAGGGTGCTTTTTTAACGATTTTTTTTTTTTTTGACAGAAAAACGGTAACCCACAAATTAGGATTTTTTTTCATCCTCTAAAATTCAAGTCCAACCTAAATATTTTTTGGAGATATTGATATTAGGGTTTTATTCAAATCTAATAGAATTTAGCTTGGACAAATCAAATACCACTTTGGTCATATTAGAATTTGGGAAAATTCAACCCTTATAATACGCCAGACTAATTGTATATTTTGGGCTTATTCTCTGAATATTTCTCAATTGTATTACAAACAAATCAATCAAACACGCCGCACAACAAATGTTATGTCCTCAAATTGCAAAAGTGAAAAAGACAAGTCAAAAAATTTATGAATTTTGTTGGCAATCGCCCAAATTTGCGCCCAATTTATTTTTAGTTTTCCAATTTGGGTAGAGCAGAAAGGACGCCAATAGGCATGGACCAATTGCCCATACAACCGTCTGCATGCACTGCTCCGTATGAGTGAGAGGTAAGTGCCCTCAGCATAACGCTGAGAGAGAAATCTATTTTGATTTGGAGAGAGAAATGTCATCCAGTACAAAGCTACGTGGTGCGGCATAAAACCAACCTCACCAAATCCTCTCTCTCTCTCAAAATTTACGGCAGTTTTCACCGCTTTTGATCCTCTTCAAAACATCATACTTTCACCTAAGGCTCACAAGCCGGGTCAGCCTTCCCCGGCCCTTGACCCGGGTCTTTACCAATAACAAATGAAGATAAAATATCAAGAATAGAATAGAGTTTCTCTAAGGCTTAAGCTTTTTGAAATCCTTGTCCTAAAAGCACTTTTGGCATCAAAAATATCGTTGATGGTTCTAATATGAATTTTCAACACCAACTATGAAACTTGAAGTATAGGTCTTGTGGAATTGTAAACACTTATTTTTTATGGTGAAATGAACGATCTACATAGTTTGTTTTCGATGCTTGAATTGTAATTTTTGATGAGTTATGAGGCGAGGATTTACTTATTTTAATAAAACTGCAATCCTATCAAACCATTTTTCAATGGTAAAAAAAGTTTCGGCCGGAAACTGGGCTGAATCGAGTCTAGCCCTTGGGCCACAATTAGACCTTGCTTTTTTGAAGCCAGGCCGGCCGCCCCACCCATTTCCATCCCCAATTTTACCATACAAATCAAAAGAGCCTATTTTACTTGCCGTCACTAAACGTGCGGGTCTTACATGTGCGGGATAGGTGTGTTTACTAAAATATTGCGTGTACATATCAGCCACCTATGAGATAACCTCACTGCACACCGTAACCGATCAACCCGGCCCCCGCTTGCTTATTATTAAACCGTTTCAAACGTCGCCCCAGGCTTTGTAGCTGCTCTGCAATTCTAGGGTTTCAAACCTTAAAACCCTAATCTGTAGTTATTGGGTTTGAGCCCTAGCCTGCAATTTCTAGGGTTCCCGCCATGGACGAAGAAGACCCTAACGACGTTTATAGGCCTGCAACAATAGAGAGCCCATATGATCCTCGGGTTGCCATTGTTGAAGAGGACCCTTCAGATGTTTACAGGCCTTTGCATTTTGACCATTCTCTGGACCCAGGCCATGCGTTCATGGATTGTATGCATGAGACGAGATTAGAGGAGCTTCAAGCTCAGCAGTATGGGCATGGGAATGTGCACGGGATGGAACATTCACAAATGGGGGATTTTGAGGCCATTCATGGTGTGAATTCTGAGGATTTTGAGCCGATTCCTGAAAGTGATTCTATGGTTTCTGTGGACGAGAATGTAACTGAGGATGTCGAGCCTATCCCTGAAAGAAGTAATAGGGCTTCTACGGATGAGCAGTTAATGGAGGATTTTGAGCCAATTCCTGAGAGCGGTTCTAGGGTTTCTATGGAAGAGAAGGAAATGGAAGATTTGAAGGTTATTCCTGAAAATTATTCTTGGGTTTCCGTTGAGGAGACAGAGGCAGAGAATTTGCAGACCGTGCCTGAGACAGAGAATTTGCAAACCATGCCTGGCACAGAGAGTTTGCAGACCATACCTGAGACAGAGAATTTGCAAACCATGCCTGACACAGAGAGTTTGCAGACCATGCCTGAGACGAGAATTTGCAAACCATGCCTGACACAGAGAGTTTGCAGACCATGCCTGAGACAGAGAATTTGCAGACCATGCCTGAAACTGAGGCTCAAGTGGTTGAGGAACCAGGTCAAACCAGCGGGGGAAAGCGGAAAAGGGGTAGGAAGGCCAGGGCTCAACCGAAGGCTCCTACAAGGAGAAAGGACGAAGAAGACGTGTGTTTTATATGCTTCGATGGTGGAGAACTGGTGCTTTGTGACCGGAGGTATTTCAGTGTTGGTCTTGTTTTCATAGTCATTTTCACATCATCCTCACCATATTCTACAATCCGTAGTATTTATTGTTTTTTTATTTGCTTTTCGGGAAAATTTTAATCTTTGAGAACGGACTTTTACAAGGTTTTCTCAATTTTTATTATTTGGACTTTTTTGGTTTTACATAAAGGACTAACTTATGGTATGGTAGTGTTGGGTTTTTTGTTTTTATATATTTACTTGAAAAAGTTGACTGTTTGATATATTTATGTATTTCTTTACGGGTTTCAGATTTATAAGGATTAGCAGTGCTAACAGTGGTTTTGTGGGGTTTTTTTTTTGTACTCATTTTTTTATAATATTTGAAGGTGTAGATTATGCTTTTGTGCATTGTGGTTTTGTTTCTGCCATTGATTTTATCCTATTTTATTTAAGCATTTTGTTTTGGGTTTTCAGGTTTTGTCCAAAGGCATATCATCCAACTTGCATTAACCGGGACCCAGCTTTTTTTCGTACAAAGGGTCGATGGAACTGTGGTATGGCAATCTGGTTAAACCTGGAGTCTTATTCACATGGATGTTAAACCATTAAATTAATGGTTGAATGGTGCATGAAGTTTCAAGTGTGGATTGAATTTTGGGTTTTGCAATGTGGCCCTTTTCCTTTGATCCTCTGATTCCGTGGTTAATCAGACTGTACTGGTTCTGATTGTTAATTATTTTATTTTTCCATTCATTCATTTGTTTATTTTTCTAGCTTAGATGTGTTTCTCTTCCTTTGTTCATTGGGTGTTTATTCTGTGCTTTTCATTTTTGGTTATATTTTCATGACCCCGGAATTACCCTTTGATGAAGTATGCGATTGGTGGGTCTTTATTTTAGTGCCTTAGATGTTTTAGTTGCGAAGAGTAGGGTGGGGGGAGTTTTGCTTTTGCTTATTATTAGTTTGTTTTGAGTATCCATCATGAACCATTTGTGGATGTCTATTATGTGGCGAAAATGTGGATGCTTCACATCTAAAACATGTGTAGAGCCCAATTTGGTCCATATTTTATTTGCAGCCAATTCTATTACGTTCCAATTTAAGGCCAATTTATCTTCGGCTTGCTGGGGATCCCAATTGTGTCCTTATTTTCATCTCAAGAGATGTAATTATAACTAAATTCTTCCATAGTAATGAAAATTGGGCTAGCTTTGATTCTTCATTATGTTTACTTGGAATTCTTCCATTATGACTGCAGTTCAAGAACAATGGAATTTGGTCTAGCTGGGATGCTCAAGTGTAGTGATCCTACCTCATATCCAAATAATGTAGAAGCTTCCCAAATTATTTTCATATTAGATTGGCCATGGTAATGTAGAATGAACATAGAGATTTGTTAATGAACTTATTGGGAACAAAGAAAAAGTGTGAAACTCATTGAGATAGACTCAAATTGGCGGCAATCCATTTCAGATATTTGTCAGTTAGTCAACCTTATTTTAGTAATTTGATTTGGAAAGCGTTAGCAACCAGGTCCAACTTATCAACTTCACTTAGATGAACTTGAATGGATGTCATTTGATCCCCGTGATATATTGCTTGTGATGTTAGAGGATGATTTTACCGACTTCAAGATGCATCTTGCACTTTTTTGTTTTTGTTTTCTTAATGCAACACTGTTTTACTAACATTGAGCTGCTTCTCTTACTCCCGGTGTTTCAAAAAGCACTAGTTAGCACCTAGGCAGTCGGGGGGGTCTGGTCGCCAAGGACCTGGGCAGCCCAATAGAATTTTTTTTTTTTGGTTTTCTTTCTCTAAAATAGGCTCTAATGGGTTTTAGGTTTTAAATGAACACCCACACTTTTGCTCCTTTAGTATTAAAACAATGACCCAAAAATACCCTCCAGGAGCCGCATTTCCCCCCTTGGGCGGGTTCCCGGGCGTTTAGGCAGACGCCCATGGATATCCGCCTAATTTGGCCTCTTAGGCCTGGGCAATGCGCCCAGGCCTTTTGGACCGCCTAGGCAACCGCCCAGGAGTTGGGCGGTCCGCTTTTTAAAACACTGCTAACTCCTTAAACCTTTTCAATGCTCAATGGATCAAGAATATGTCCCAAAACTTTTGGGAAACATCTGTAAACCCTTGGGAAACAACTTGATTGCACAGTTCTAAGAATCATCAAAAATTGTGATTTAGGTATTATTGAAGTAGCGAAAACTTTCCATTTCCAACTTTTTGGTGAACTATGAATTTGAGATCAGAATTGTTGATTGTTCATTTAGATGCATCCTTACTGGCCATATTCTTTTCTAGGATAGACTCTCACTCCTGATTATAATGATTCCCAAGCATTTCCCATCATGTTTGTCGTTTTGGGACCAAGGTTTCAAAAAATATTAGGCGGCCGGCTTGGCCCCTAGCGCCCAGAACGGCAGGCGTCTTGTAGTGCAAATTCTTTAGATATATACATATATGTGTGTCCGAACATGCATATATGCTATTTGTGTCAATTTCATAATTTATTGCATTTGAAAATATTGTAACATACTTTTTTATATACAAACATGTGACATATTGCATGTTGAGATGTTCAAAATTCAAACCATACAAAATTTAAAAAATTTAAGAGTCTAATAGGCTATGTACTAGCAATAGTCTCCAACTCTCCATATTCCATAATAACATGGACTCCAAGTCTCCAAGTCATCAACAAACTTACAAAAGTATAAACCAAAAACAACATAGTCCAAAAAGGCTAAAAGTCTAACAGCCAAATGTGTAACAGATTGAGGGCTTATGGAAGTGTTCTTTTAACTTTAGTGACCATAACCTATTTAAATCTTTTTGGGGTCAAAATTATCCCTTTTTCCCTTTTATGCATATTTAAAAAATTGAAAAAGGTCCACGTCCATGGGCGCCCTGCCTGGCCTGCCTGGGCGCCTGCCCAAGTACATCCCCCTGGAATGGGGCGCCCGAGTCTAGCCGTGTGGTCAGAGGTGTCTTAGGCCCCTAGGTGCTGGGCGGGCCCTTTTTTGAAACCTTGGCTGGGACTGATAGATGCATATTATGCATTGTAAGAAAATATGGTTTATCTTGTGGTCATAGAATATGCTTGGCTAACCAATTTCATATGATCGATCTTAGAACTATATGATTCTTATGCCAATCCACATGCTAATTGAGTCCATGTGCTTGTTGGGGACATCACTTTTTGGTTTGCACTATGTTTTATGTTAACTGTTTGTGGACAACTAAATAAAAAAATAATGGGTGCAGCATTATTTGGCTTGGTAATTTTTTTGGAGAAAAATATTTGCTTGGTGGCATTGAAAATGTGTGCTAGATTACGCATTGAAGTTGGTGGATATCTGAAGTATAACAATATTCATGTGATTGAGCCATATTATAGGGCTACTTAGTTATTGTGAAATGGGCTACCTAGTTATTGTGATAGATTCTTAGGGTTATGATCATTAATTTTATTGATTGTTCTGATTTCTTTATCTTTGTTACTTTGTACTTATGCTAGAGATTTGAATCTTGGAGGCAGTGATGAAATATGTTGGATTTCTAACGGGCATGATGTTTGTAGTTTTCTTTTTGACTGGTATCAACATTTATGCTTTTAAATAATTTGCTTATCTTTTCTATATAGATTTTTATAACAGGTTATTAGTAATATCTGTTTGAATTTTTGCTTGTTTTTGCTATATTATTGTACCTCCTGAATCTTTTATACTTGTTAAGAAGAGGTGGTTCGCTGAGATTGTCTGATATATTTACTTTTCATATTTTGTGTTTGTTGATTATTACAGGCTGGCACCTTTGTAGCAATTGTGAAAAATCAGCTCATTTCTTGTGCTGCACATGTACATATTCATTGTGCAAGGTCTGCATCAAAGAAGCAGATTTTTTCTGCGTTCGTGGAAACAAAGGATTTTGTAATGCATGTTTTACAACAATAATGTTGATTGAAAAAAATCAGGCTAATACGGTATTGTCCCGTGCTTAATATGAGTGTGCTAGCATTTCTTTTTTTAAAGCAGTGTTATTGGGTGGATTACAATAATGATTATTCTTCTACTCTAAATAGAGCAAATTCATTTTGTGTTTAAATTTTTATCACATGGGCGAATGGTTCAATGTGTGTTTCTTTACTGGATTCAAACTTGTTATTTGTTCTCTTTTCTCATTTAGTAGTAACATAGTTTGTACATGCCAACAATGAGTTTTCAATTATGAATGATCTAAAAAAATTTGGCTGTGGGAGTCTAGATGAGTGCTAGTATGCCTGCAAATCTAGGCGGCAAAAACAGGGATTAAGGGGGTTTAGGCCCTCTAGGGTGTTTAGGGGCTTGGAGTAGGATCCCAAAACCTCCAATATATATATATAGATCACTTTTTTGTGCTTCTGTGTTATTGTGTTGTGTTCAAATACATGAATTGCGTTGAAACTTGAAATTGAAATGCGAGAACTTTGTTGTTAGAAAATTGCCCATAATCCATATGAAGTAGCATAATTATTACTTATCAAATGCCAATATGTCATAGGTCCATAATCAACTATCTACATCAACATTAGATGCTTGTAACACAAAGTCAACACATGAATTATAGGTCACAATTCACCAAAAATCAATATACTTCAACTGAAAATACATAAACTAACAAGACTAACGACATATCATATCTAATTAACTCAAAGTGGCAGTTGAGTTTCATCATCACTTCCTACAACATCCCCACCACCATTAGATGCATCTGAATATGATGATGATGACATGCCATCATTATTGAAATCACCGCCTCCACTACATATTCCCCTTTATCCC